AATCAAGGGCTCGCTGGAGGGATTATGTATCCCCTCTGGCCTGGGAACGTCTCCCCCAGGATGAGCTGGAAAGTGTCGCTGGGGAGAGCGGGGTCTTTCTGCTGCTGCCCCTGCGACCCGATCCTGGATAAGCCGGCCGGACGGACAATTTATATTGTTAAACTAAATTATAAAATTTAAAATTATAACTCTAATTCAAACAGAATAGCCATGTCAACATAATTATGGAGTGTAATTTATTTTCCACTCAAAATATCTTCAAACTAACAAAATATAAAGTTATTAGTGAAGAAAACCCGTCTGGATAACAGCAGAAAAACTGCACGTAAAATATACGACAGGTCTGGACCACTCGTAAATTTTGTTCGTATCTGAAAAAAATCTTAGAATACGAAAACATTGGTGAATGCCACCAATTCTCCTAAATCACTCGTACGCACAACTTAAGAACAAATCTGTGCGTATGAATGGTTCTTGAATGAGGCCCATTGATTCCACAACATTCAGGTCAAGATCTTCCAGTGGTTTGGGTTATGGTTGGGTGACAGGCTGAAGATTTACCATTCGCCATAATCAGCTCAACAGAGAATCAGTGACATAGTTTTCAGCTGTCTCTAAGGGTGTTGTTTTGAAGAAGTGTGGACCAGGAAGTCTATAGTCTATGTACCACTGTAGAAATCAGCTGTTTGTGACCAAAGACAAAAACACTTATTTGGGAATTCTTTGATTTTAAACCAAGACATTAAACTTAAGCTTTCACTAAAATTGTTACTAATTTGAATAAATAAATTGTGTTTTCTTCCAGTTTTGGTATTTGTAGAAAATGCACATCCCAGGCTTGTTTGCTTGCAGAAAATAAATGGAGGGTGAGTTATTGCATGTAGGATTTTTAGTGTACTGCCAAAAAAAGGTCACAACTCATAAAAGGACAGATTACAGCAGCTGAAAAAAAGGGGRAAATATCCTACTTAAAAGTAAAACTATTCATCCTATAGCCCAGTGTTTCCCAAAGTTGGGGTCGGGACCCAAAGTGGGGTCCCGAAAAATCAAAGTGGGGTCCTGAAAAGATTTTCTGAATTAGACATTTTTGCCTTAGTTGTTACAAAGGAGTGAGGTTAGTATATTTAAAATGGATATATGTAGTATAAAAAATATTACTATGCCCATGTTTTGTTGACCTGATACAAATGTTTATCATCCAAAAGTGGGCACAGGTCTCTGCTACTGTTATTTTGTGGGTCAAAAGCTGAAAAGTTTGGGAACCASTGCACTTTGGTTCCCAAAGTTGGGCTTGGGACCCAATTATGGGTCATGAAGCACCTTGGATAATCTCTAGAAATCAGTTTAAAGGCTAATAAAATAATTGCTGCTGTAATATTTTCCCTATAATTATTAAAAAAACAAAATAAGTATAAATAAATATTTATATTTGTGTACAAGCTGTTTAGATTGTCAAAAATTCAGTGTTTTTAGGGTTATTAATGAAGTTCGTGTACTCAGACCAGTAATATTTGGGGTCACAAGTTTTTGCCATGGATATTTTGTGGGTCAGAAGATAAAAAGTTTGGGAACCACTGATATAGCCTACCACTATATGGATTTTAAAATTTGGAATTAAATTTAATTGATTAAAATGTGTTTTAATATTCCTTCACATTCAAACTGATTTAAATATTTGGATGCAAGGTAAAAATGTTACTGGTTTTCATACAAAAGTGTATTTAGCTTACTTTTCGTATAAAATTGACGTGACACTCCCCCTTCTGGACATCCGGAGGACACTCGGGGGGCACTCTGTAGGACGAATGAGCTCTGCTCCTCTCASAGGCATAAAGAACCGGAGACAGCAGACCAACTTGCAGCACATTTTCACCGTCCTTCAGCAGACCACTGACTGAGAAGTCCTACACACCACGCTACGTTAAAGATGGCTCACTGACATCAGTTTAAAAACTGCACATTGTGAACGTTTTTTTTAAACACACATATTTACRAAACATGTTATCCGTCTTCCCGATGACGATCCCATTAAGAGAGATGGAGGCAACAGTGTCCACACCATCAAAAACCAGAAGCACCTTCTTCTTGACCCTGTGATGCAGAGAAGACAGAAGTGAGTAGATCACCTCCTGGCTACTAAAGCTTCTCTGAAACAAACAAAAAAAAAAAAAACAGACATACTGACCTTACTTGGGGAGACACAGTGAATGTAGTCGAGTACGTCCAATTGTCAAGTGCAATCCATCGGTATGATAAGTCATTAAACCTGAAATATGGGTCCTACAAAACAAAATGTGACATTTTCTGCTCCAGTTTATTTCTACTTTCTAAATAAAGATTAATTAGTTAATCTGAACACAATAAAAATAACCTATGCAGTGCTATGTAATACACATTTATTTTTGTCCATAGGATGCAACAACACTGAGCACATCTCTCTGCAATACTAAAGGCCCTGTCACACTAGACAACTTATGCCAACTTTTGAACATTTTAAAGACACTGAAGATGGAATTTAAAAAAATCAACAGGAAGCTTCTTTTCGGCAAGTACATAATGTAATTCAAACAAAAGTATCAAATTGTAACTTATTAGCAATTTAGACATAAAATGTTTTTCAAAAGTTGGCATAAGTTGTCTAGTGTGACAGGGCCTTAAGTTACAATTTATTTCAGTTTAAGTGTAAGTTTTGCACACAGAAGACGTAATTTGCAAATAAAAAAGGTAAATAAATTAAAATAGGAGATAAATGGGATTCATGAGAAATCCAACCCCGTTTTGGAGCTGTACAGTTCAGGCAGTCTCCACAGAGTTAAAACGAATCACAGAGCTGTCATTTTGATATCTTCTACAGTTTTTAGACAGGTTTATGTTCTATGATTTCTACAAAATRTCCTTCAGAAATCACTTATTTTAAGTTTTCAAATATTTTGCAATCAAAATCTTTTATCCAGAATTTTTAATTATAACAAGTAGGGTTGGGCATAATCGTATCGTGTGCAATTAATCGTCAGAAAAACATTAATCGATTAATTTTTGGCACTTGAAGATTAATACGATTAATGCCACCAGGCAGACTAACCGCTTGGTGTTCCTCTCTGATTCAAATATGACCGACATTAAAGAAATTTGTGTAAATTATTTATCCATCAACACAATTTAAAGTTTGATGTATAGCCTGAAGTCTGTAATTTTGACACAATTTGGAACAGATTTTTACAAAGAGCCAATTTTCTCCCTATAAATTGGTCATGTGACTAGGATACAAGGGTGTCCAGGGACTCTGGGGGATTAATCTTCAAATTAATCGTTATCGGCTAAATACCACAATTAATCATGATTAATTTTTTTGCCAATATTGCCCAACCCTAATAACAAGTCAAGTGTAGTCACCCATTGAATTACCTCACGCTACTATACAAAAGACCCCCCACCCCCACAAAAAAAAATCTCCACAAAATACAAACTGAGCATGGACAAACTGCCATAGAGTTTAACATTTTAGCTCAAGAGAGTCTGTTCAAAAACTGTAACTGAATGGTGTTATTAACTTGTTATAATCTATATTTAAGGTGGTAAACCATGAAAATTCACTTTATTAAAATTTCAAGCTATAACCATCTTTAGACAGTGGCTATTTGTTTGAGGCTTCATTTTTAGGCTGTATTTATGTCTGCCCACCTCTGACTACCAAAGGTCACTGTCCTAGGGAAAGGGGCAGCATTTCTTTTACATCAAAAATGTTGTTACTTTTAGAAAGTGATTGACATTCTTCAAAACTTGTTGTAGAGCTGATAAATATATTTATATTTTAAACAATAGGTTATATGTTGTCGAATTAAAGTGATATAGTAGTAAGTGTCCTSACTACCTGGATGTACTGTTGTTGCAGCAGAGCTGAGTGAACACAGCCAGGCACCTGTGCTGCCAGCGACACCGACCCGTTGGAGCTCGTCAGCCTCCATTTGCCGTTCAAACTTAGCTCCAGGTGCTGCGAGGCTAATGGAGAACATTCCGATAAAACTCCAAAAAACAAACAGAACAAAACACAAAGAAAAGGCTTCAAACGCTGCGTCATGAGTAGCGGTGTTCTGGGCGCATCGTAAGTACGCGAATCTAAATTAAATCTTTTTTTTATTGTGTTATTCTCTCCCCAAACTGAGTTGTATTTATTTCCTTGTTGGTCACGTGAGCCTCCACTCGTGACAGCATTGCGCACTCATTTTCAGTTCGCCGGATGATGATTCGGGTAGAGATGACGACTAACTGTTAGGGAAGTTTCTTTCGAGGCGTTCGGCGCAAACTCCGCCCACCCGGCTGGCCAATTTGTCAACCGGGTTATAAATGGTGCGTAGCCAGTCAGCTGATTTGGCGCGAAAAATAAGATGTATGAAAACATCATGAATTTTTTTTAAATCAAAAGCTTAAATGTGTAAGTATTTATCAAACTACAAATGATTAATATTTTAGGACAGTGATGCATTAAACATTATGTAGGTCAAACATCAGTTATGATCAGAATTCATGTATTTTATCTACTATATACAGTAAAAATACATAAAATTGGTAAGAATGTGAGTTTTTTTGTTTGTTTTTGCATTGCATTGAGGATTTGAACACCTAAGACTAGTTAAATCAACCCTTTGCAACCACATCACCTAAATCACTTGCAGGCCATGATGGACGGGGAAAAAATGTTCACAAGTTGGCACGTTTAAAACGGTGTGACAGGGCCTTTAGAAAGCATAAAATCATCTTTTAATACATTAAAGAACATAAACTGTAACATATGGTTGAAGTAACTTTATTGAAGGAAAAACTAAAAAAAGAAAGCCACAAGTTGATCATCAACCATTAGCTTTGTATCAACRTTTTAGGGCTACAAGATTTGTGTTCAAGTGGGCATAAAAACTGCTCGTCTACTGGCTTCTAAACAACAAAACAAAAATAATAAAAAATAAAAAACTTTATGGGGAACCAAATTTGTTATTTCCCAACAGTTCAACCTTACAATCCACTTTATTTGCAGAAACATCAGATATAATAGCCTACCTTTATTAACATGCATAAAATACAACATTGAAGTTCTTATATTTTTGTTTCCTTAATGATATATACTGCTGTGTTTCTCTGTACACACTTTGATAGTGGAATAAGATACATCTCTTTCATTAAATAACAGATTCCTATACTATTTATCAGAACATACTGATGCCACACCAATCAATGAGGCAGAGGAACCAGTCAATCAATTTTTCCTTTATCCAATTCTAGATCAAATGCAGTAGTTGTGCCAATTTGAAACCAAATTATTAAAATGCATGCTTCGCTTCAAGTGCTCTTGGAAACCCAGTTTACAGGGGAGAAAGTAACAAATCAGCCGATAAGACAAACTGGATCACTTTAGATGTGATTAGACACAGCCCCAGGAGTCTGAAGTGTGCAGACTAAAATAATCGAATCATCAATTTGTGGTTGAGAGCTTTGAGCAGCACACTCGAGCTGTGTTGAACCATTTTTAAACTTCAAGGAGTTGCAATTTTACAGAAACTGGTATAACCTAAAGAAAAAAAACATGAACAAAAGAAAATAAAAACACTATCTTTTTAAGCACTCAGGTGGAATAAAAAAAACAAAACAGGGTAAGATGCATTGATTAAACAAAAAGTGAAAAGAAAAAACAAAATCCCAAAATTTTAAGCTTGAACCAGCAACATTTTCCACCTGCTTTCCAACCAACGCCATCACATCGCATACTTTTGTGTCCATTCTTTTGCCATTTTGATGTATCTGCAATGAAATAAATGTCACTGTTTTAGTATTAGCATGAAACCCATTCATGCTCACAAATACACGAACATCAAAATTTCTCAAAGCACATGCACACCGTTTCAAGTTTCAGATTTTAAAGCAAAAATGGCTTCTTGATAAATGTTCTAAAACAAACAGGAAATGCAGGACTTCCTCCTCCCTTTCTCCTTAAAAAAAAAAAAATCAAGCAATGGTCATCAACACCAATAAGTCATCGACCTTGTTTACATGCAGATTTATTACTAATCTGAGTTTAAGCTAAGCATGTTTTCAGTGAGATGTTTAAAATCCACAGGGAAAAGACAAAACGAGACCCAGGCTGGCAAAAACTGAGAACAGGCTTCAGTGCAAAAACAGTGAAAATATCCATCTTTGGGGATTTAGATCTGCATAAAAACAAAGCCCAAAATGAATGATAAATTACCAAAATGAAGTATAAACTACCTGTTAAAATCAAAATATTTGACAGAAATATTTGACTTATAACCCTCCCTCCTTTTTCTTTTTTTAAATTGACCATTTATCTTTGCTGGCTGCCGTTAACACCAGGAACTCCCTGTGTAGAATGATTAGCCTCGATATGAAAGTTTTAAAATATACAGCTTGGATTATCAATGAAATCTTTTTAGATAAATATAAATTGAGTTTTTAAACAAAAATACTCTTAAAACAAAACTAGCTTGTTTATAGGTGATAAAATGGACAAATTTCAACAAACTAATTTAGAAGATTTTGAGATGGGAAATTTAAATATTGGAAAATTCCTCATTGTGTAGATGAAATGTTTTACATATTTTATGCCACTATATTAATCCTTAATTTATAGCATGTACAACATTTACTGTCTATAGAAAAACTGACAAAAAGGAGACCCAGAGATATTAAAAAAAAGCAACCAAGTTTACATAAACAGCTGAAGAACTGTTTCCTGTCCTCACACTATCCTGACTTCTGCAGGGTCAGTGTTGAAACATTTAACCAACTCAAACACTTAAACAGCAAAAACACAAAAATCAAGATGCATGTTAGAGAGGGGAAAAAAATTGAGCGAAAACCAACTGTTACTTTATATCTGTGCTGACAGAACATTTCTTTTCCCTTCTCTGCAACACAGATGCAAACGTCTGGTCAGGCCACTGAGACCAGAGCATCAAACACATCCAGCCTCAAAACAYCAGCCAAGATGCAGTGCTGGCTCGTGGCCTTACCCGCCTAAAGCATGGCATACTTTGTTGTCCACTCCTGAGCTAGTTTATTGTACCTAACAAAATGAAACCAGATTAGTAACAGTACCCAACTTAAGTAGTTTTTCCCTAAACCAAAATATTAAAAGAGAGAAAAAGATGGATCATTGTTAAGTTTCCATAAAATGTGCTTGTTTCTTTTTAAAAGAAAAAACTGGTCATTTCCACGTTCAGATTTTAACTCGTGTACTCACTTCTGACTATCTGTTTTGTAGATTCGTGCAATCTCTGGCACTAGTGGGTCGTCAGGATTTGGGTCACATAAGAGTGAGCAAATGGAGAGAAGAACTGAAAGAAATAATATCAATTTAAAAACACTGATCTTTAAAATAAGCCAACCAAAATTGTTTAGGTGTCTACACAACTAACTGTACCTTTAGAAATAGTGAGTGCAGGAGACCACTGCGATCTGAGAATATCCAGGCAGATACTGCCGTTACTGTTAATATTTGGGTGGTAAATTCTTGTTGTGAACGCAACCTGAGAGAAAGGAAGAGGACAAAAACAAATGAAAGAAGTTAGATAGACAGATAAAGCTGTCATACAACATGTCAGTGTTGCATAATTTAAATTCCATTTTACAAAACAGCACAGCCATCAAGCTCTTGAATGACAACTGTCCCCACCAACCCCACCCCTGCTCTTCTACGCTACTTTCCAAGCAGACAAACAAGCTCAAAGCTAGTTTGCATGTTTYGTTTACCAGGCTAGTTTGCATTTTAAAACAGACACTTTGTTGCAAAGAAATACTTCTCTAACCATATTCACACAAGCAGGAAAGGGGGAGAAAAACATCGACTCACCTTGGGTGGTTTGAAAGGGTAGTCTGTTGGAAAATGAATTGTCAAGAAGAAAACTCCCCCCTGATATGGACTGTCACTCTGAAATAAGACCATAGGCACAATTTAGACTTGCACCCATTGACCACAGCTTTCATTTTCAAGTCAAATTTGGACCTTTATCTCACGAATATTTTTATTAACGCAAGAAACGTCATCCAAACTTTATGGCTTAATTATTGGTCTCATAAAACACTTACAGGTCCCATGATTGTGGCTTGCCAGTGAAACACTGCAGAGAACAGAAAGTAAATGTTAAAAACTGGCGAAAGGTCAAAAAAGKTATGTGATCAGACAGGAACTGAACAGCTAAAAAAATGTCCTTATGGCTTCCTGGCAGCACTCATTTGTGCTTTTATGGTTTCGCTATACTTTTTGCTGGTTCAATTTTAAAACTAAATCTACTGTCTGAAAATGTTTTCAGGAATTTAAAAAATGCCAACACTTACTGTCATCGCCCACTGGGCCAGCAGAGCACTGGGCTGGAGGGTCACGAGCCAGGTCATTAAGTTCCTGTAATGCGAAGATCAAAACAGTTATGTCATATGTATTTTTGTTATTAAATAAATAAATWAAAAAAAACACAAAAGTGATGTGAAAGCCTTTATTCTCAGAGTGAATGCCACAATATACACTCTATATCCCGCTACTCTCCTTCAATTGCAACTCTGCGCCAGCTCTGGGTCAGGTGCCACCCTATTATTGCCATAGTAAACAGCTAAATTAGACCTTATGCATATTTAGTTTACTATTGCTTGTTATTTATAGGTGCACAGTTATTTCTGAGCAAGGTGGAGACATTGCTCCACCCTGGCCTCCTCTCATACACCATCTCACAAACAAGTTCAGATATTTCCTTGAAGGAAGATTCCAGAGTAAAGAAATAAGAGCCTGTGACCAACACTGAATGTTTTCTTCTTGACAATATTACTTCAATAAAAATGTCAAGTTAGACACGATCCAAAACGTAAAATTTACGTAAAAGAGAAAAAAAATACTGCTGCATTCCAGAAAAGTGTATCATCTACTTTTAAAGCCAAAACCAGCGCTATGAGTCATGGGTTCTGGTAACCAGTAAAATAGTAAGGAAAATTTYCTGTACTCCACTTAATATTAATTAGCCAGACAACATTGAATGTAGAAGCAAGAGGATTTGGAATCAAGCCGTATCTTTTCGATAAAGCTGAGCCTAAAAAATGCTAACACTCAAAGCTAACCAGTTGCATCATGTTTGACAAGTTAAGGCTGGCTCGTATAAATCACTGTTTAAAGTACTATAACTGCAGTCAGTTAAAAAATAACTAAAACACAAATGGTTTTGTCGCACTTCAAAGTAAAAAAGGGTGAAGTTGACGCTTCCTCGAACACGCTCCGCCGCCTGGTTTTACAGGATATGGTGGCTGCATTGTGAAATGCTAGCCCGGCAAGCTAACGTGTTAGCTTTCGTTTCTACGATGTTATCTTACCTTGTGAATCCTTTTCAGAGCCATCCTCTTTTGATGTTCTCGTCTTCAACGTGAACGTCGTCCGATTCCTACTACTAAAGGGGGCAGCGGTGATGTGCCAGGGTGATTTTTGTTCTTTTAAATAAACGAGGCCGGGTCCACTCGACGGCCTTCCTTTCTCTCTCGCTAGCGCAGTTAGCTTGCTAGCTAGCGTGCTAAAACTACGTACGCAGAAGAAGCGCTGACAAACCAAAACGTAACGCACTTTTTTCGACGCCTAATTTCGCGCAGTTTCAACACCCGTGTATGAGATTCTTCGTGTCCACTCTTGAGGTTGAGTAAATGCGTATATCAGTTTGGGTATCTGGGTCGACTGCTCTCGTCTCCTTTTGGTTTCGGTCGAAGTCGTTAAGTAACTAGCGGCAGCGGCTGTCTACATATGAAGCTTTGTGACGTGAAGGCGGTGTCAGCCGCGGAGTGACGCGGCGGATATGATGGCAGATTGGTTACAGCCTGCAGGGGGAAAAAAAGTAGGACAGGCAAGCCCTAACATCACGCCCTGTAACTACTACTCTAAACAAGTGGACAGAGTGTACCAAAGTTTTCAGGGAATTGCCTAACATGCACAGAGTTCCCAGACAAAACACCGTGACCTCTGAAATTCACAGGAGCATGCCATTTTTTTTTAAATGGCGGACATTTGAACATCTGAGGAAGTATTTATGAGTGAAATTGCTTTATTTTAATGAGAGAATTATTCCAGACTCCTTGAGGTAAGAACGTTTATAGAAGCCCATTTCCGCCACCCTGATAAAAAAAAATAAATAAAACTTGTATCTCATAATTATGACTTACTTATAATTATGAGATACTATCTCATAATTATGAGATAGCTAAGTCATAATTATGAGATAGTATCTCATAATAATGAGATAGCTAAGTCATAATTATGAGATAGTAATGATATAGCTCATAATAATGAGATAGCTATCTCATTATTCATTGGCTATACGTTTATAAGTGAATAACTTTCAGAGCCACCTCCATTTAAGATGGCCACCACAGCCAAATGACTTCAGGAAACACAAAAATAGCCACAACTCAATGTGTCAAATATTTTGATAACATTTGTGATAGCAGTAGTAAGGACAGCGTGATATAAATCTTGCAATGGCATTGATAATATTTTAAATTATTGCAATAATATCAGGTGTGATATATATCTTTTTTCTTTCCTCCCTTTCTAATCTCCCACTCTGTGACCTTTAGGATTTTASGCAACTTCATTTGCGTCTGGAGCTTTTGCTGCTGTGAGACTCTGTCCTACTAACTAAATATAGCATTAGCATGAAAAACACAACTTCAAAACTCTTCAATTAGTCAACAATTATCGCACTCCAGGCTGTCCATTGCGATATGAATACTGTGTACAATGATATTGTGATGATATATTTGCGATATACTGTGCAACCCTAGTGGTAGTAGCTGAGTGATTCACAATACAGTGACATATAAGATTGTGCATATTAATAAACAACTCCATACCTGTAAAATAATCTTAGTTTGTAACTCTGGCATTAAAGGCAGTGAGCAATAGGCATGCTTCAAGAAATGTTAGGTCTTTATTTCACGAACCAACATTTAATCTCCAACGTCTTTTTAAAAGTGAACATTTTTATATTATCTATTCATTACTTTTATTTGAAACCAAATATGGGAAACTGTCAGCCTCGAAACAAAACACAAATATTTGTATCTTAGATCCGTTTTATTTTTTCTTGTTTGTAAATATTTACTGCCATAATAAAAGACAAATCATCTTTAATTACCTTAGCTCTTTGAGAAAAGTTCATTTTTCTACAATTACTTGGACACAACAAATATATTTCACATAACTCCTTTGTGCTTCCACTGACATTTCAAACCTAATATTTCTCATTTTAGCCTTGTTGWAATTTTCACATGCTTGTTTTATTTTATTTTTTTAWGGGTAGCCATTTTTAAACCCTGAAAACCCACCATGTGTATACATGTTAATATGGGTTTAATCAACTTACTAAACAACACACGTGACATCACAAAAACCTTCAGCAGCTGCAATATACAGTAGAAAATTTGTGTATTTGTAAACATTAAATTAAAGCTTCTGGATTTTAAATTAAAGCTTTTTTAAACTTTAAATTATTTGAATGAAAAAAATGGGGCTAAAATGTTGCTTCAGACAGAACAATGTCACACAACCACAAACATCCAGTCGTCTTACCTGAAGGCTACAACATTTAGACTAAATCTGCATCACAACACAGTCTGTTTTATGTTTCAGTAAAGAAAGAAGTTGAAGCTCAGCACTGGATTTTAACACTGAAGAAAAATTGCAAAACAAAAAAATTGATAAACAACAAATCTGACTCCTAAATATCGATTCAGGATGATTTCTTTATGGTTTGTGATCGTTATTCGTTCTGACTTTTTGCTTTTACGAGCCAACACTGGTTCAATATTCAGACACGATTTTGTTGACGCGAAGCACATTCGTTACAATGCCTGGGAAGAGATTAAAAAAATATATAATTGTCATTTTTATATATTTGTTCACATACAGAAGGCAAATTTTGTTTCTTATTTCGGAGAGAACTCATTTTAAACCCATCAAGGCACTGATGCAGGGCAGTCAGTCATCGGTRTCTGTTCTGAGGAAAAGTGACTGACACTTCTGATGTCCGAGTTTGAAGTGATGACGTGATGATCGTTTGAAGAGTCCGTGGAGAGTTGGRAGTTTCCATTAAAGGATCCAGCAGGTGTGCTATCAACAAGGTTACCTGCAGCTGAGACAGCCTGTTGATCTGTGTCTGTACCATTTGCCCCTGATGGATAAACATGGTGACAGGTTTTAGGTGTCCTATCATGATTAGAACGTGGGGGGACATTTTTGAACCCTAGTAGTTCTGGGTTAGACTGGACGTCTCCAGTGTTTTCACTCAGAGCTGCAGGAAGTGACGCTGCATCTGAGTCATTTCCGTTCACCTCCCCGTGGCCGTGCATGTTCAGAGACGTTTGTATAATGTGGGAACTAGCCAGGTCCTCTGAAGATACTGGGCTGACYAACTGAAAGTCTCCACTGGAGCTGAAACCGTTCCTTTGAGTGGCCTCTCTGCCACTGTCGTCCGGTTCACCGTTACTGTCATCGTTCCCACAGCGTTCCCTCTCGTCTCGCTGCGAGGTGGAGTCAGGAGTTACGTCATCACGCTGCGTCTCTGCCGCCGTGCCGTTGCTCGTGTTCTGATGTCCGTCTGGTGCAGCCTGATCTGGCCTTGCGTCTCTCTGAGCTGCAGCTGCTGGGTCCGTCCYGTCGCCTGAAGCCTGACTCTGACCCGGTGGTACTGGTCTGACCGTTTGGTGACACATGGGGCACGTTTCCTGCACGTACAGCCACTTGCGGAGGCAGTTGTCGTGGAAGAAATGACCACAGTATGTAATGACAGCTGAGCTCATTTCCTGCAAACAGACACAGATCTGGCTTAACAAAAATATCTGCAAACCATCTTATTGTCACACAAACAAGAACTTTACAAGTGMTCTTTATCAGTATTTTACAACAGCTGTTTTCAATTTCTCACTCTCATTCAGTGCTCATTTTCTTATTTTAGATTATTTACAGGTTTCTACAGTTTTTACACTTTTCATCCATGATCTGGCTTCATAAGMCACAGAGCTCCAACTTCAGCACACTTTAAACAGCAATCACCTGTTTACTAATGTTGGGACTGAAAGAAAATGTCCCACTGGTTTGTATAAGWGGAGGAGGAGTCAGGCGGGAAAAACAGGAAGAACACGTCTCACATATTTGTTGACAGTGTGTAAATGAAGCAAGTGAGGACAGCACTGCAAACTGTCAAACATTTCCTACTCATTTTGTACAGTAAAGGTACTAAAATACATTTACTCAACTTACTGTTTGAATTAAGTTTAAAAGCAAGCATGTGAGTGAATTTAGTATTTGATAAGAGTTAACAAAAATTAGTGAAAAGAGCTGATCTGTCGAGTATACTTAAACGACTTGCATCATGTTTCAAATAAGTCAATTAGGATCAAAGGTGCCTTCAAGTTTTTCCACTTTTCGTTCAGCCTATTTAAAGGGAACAAACATGCCAAGAGTACCCATGTTCCTGTGACTACAGCTGTCAATATTATTAAAAAGTACAACATTCATGGGGGACATAGACAACCTCCTAGGACCTATCSTGGCMCTTGCCTTCCTACGCAGTTCYGCTCARTTCTAGTTTCGCTTCKCTGCTCCGTCTGGGAYTTCTCCCATAGACAAGGATTTCTTCTGGAGAATTTTCGTCCGGGCCAATCAGAGAACAGAACACTGATTTTCTGCGCAGAGTCTGCTTGTAGTTTATTTTACCTGGGCCAACCAACAAACAGAAGAAGTTTTGAACGACGTCGATTTTCTGCGCAGTGTCTGCTAGTTAATTTAGCATACAGCAGTGGAGGAAGTGAATGAAGCCAGTCCGTGTTGATAAGGCTTCCAAATTAA